TACACACACACAGACTGAGAGAGAAGGGACTTGCAGCCAATGGAGGCGTCAGGACCAAAATCAAAGTTAGATCAAGATCTGTTGGAGAGCGCCCCCTGTGGATTATGAGTCAAGACCCTTGTTGCATCTTTTCTCATCTTATCATTGCTCAATTAATGATTTAACAATGTGTGACTCAACAATGTTTAAGAACTTTGGACTCATATTCAAATATCTAGTATTTCTCTTGTTAATAGCTAAAAATAACAGCAGCGATCTGGGGAAACTTCGAGCTACACTGGAAATTCCCAAAGAAAATCCTGAAACTTTTCCTGTTTCAGTCTTGACACAGTGAGTGACCACCAGTGTCCTTCTAGAGATAAGAATTGTCCAACTTTAACTATAACTAGTTCTTAACACTCCACCTCCCGCCACCAGCATCAGCTCCTTCCCAATCAAAGCCTCGCATCAGTCAATTCCCAAAAATGTTTTGCAAGTGACAGAAACGCACAGACTCACCGAGCTCTGACAGAGAAGCAGTTGTTGCGGTTGGGCTGGAGGCAGAAGAGCGAGGCCACGCAGTAAACACAGCACAACAACATAGACAGCAGCCGTCTCTTTAAAGACATCTTCTCTCTGACAGGAACACACATCAGTTTCACAGCATCGATGTCACGTCACACGTGGAAAATAAATGTGTATTGATGCAAACACTCAAACGGTAACAGGACATTTTTTTGTTAATTACCAAAATCATCCTTTCCTGATTTCTTACTTTACAGGTTTGGTGTTTCATCCCTCAGACGAACGGGATTAAAATAGATTTCTAATCTTACGACAACCCAAATACCTTGAACTGTGCTGCAGGCCACACTGATGCTGAGCAGCAGCAGCTTGACCCTGATCATGTTGACCACCACACATCACCATGACAACACCACATAACGTCATCGTCACCTTAACAAAGGAGCGTGAGGAACTTTGTGTTTCCCGACTGGTTGATCTTCCAGAAGTGGAGAACTGCTGAGGTTCTTGGCTCAAAGTTCTCAGACGTTCCTCCAGACCAGATCCCCGAGCTGAGTCACAAGTTTCCCGTCACAGCAGACGGAGGATGGCGTTGGCAGGGGTGTAAACAAGATCCCGGCTCCCTGGGCGCTGCTGGGCACTGGGCACAATTACTGCTGACCCACGCTTTGTTTTGAAAGGTCCTGAAAGGTCTAGCAGGGGTGAACAACATTCTGACATTGTGTGTCTGCTGGAGCTATTTTTAGGGAGGGGGGGGTGAGCGAGGTAGTAAAAAGAGGATCTTTCCTCTCAGGTTGCTCTGGACTCATAATGAACCTGGTGAAACTGAGCTGCTCAGGGCTGAAGTTCAGTGTTGAGGTTTGAGGATGAGACACCAAACAATCAGATTGATTTCACACAGATCACTCTGTTTTTAAATTTAAATCTCTGTGGCAAATCTGACCAAGCTTCAGTTGTGTTTTTAGATTTCATGTGGAAGTGAAAGTGAGATGCTGCGTGCGTCGGTCAGAAACACAAGTCAACAGAATAATAACAAAGGTCTAATTGTTTCAAAAGCTTTTAACTTGAAATGTTTAAATATTGTCTGTGGCTGCTGCTCGGTACTTTGAGAGGCTGGTGTGGCGTCAGATGATGTTTTCGGAGCGTGTGCAGTGAGACAGCGTCATTAGCCAGATGTGTTTGTGTGTGAATCCTGGTGGAAAATGGTCCCATCGTGCCAGATGTCTCTCCCGGGGCTTTAACAGAACGGCAGCCATCAGGGTTAGAGTTTAACTAAACCCACTCAGTTCTACACACAGTCTGCAGCTGCAGCTCCATGTTTGTTATATTAGGGTTTTTAATGTGACACTGTTAGTATCACAATCAACATCTGGACGAAGGAGGTTCAGGTATCCTCAGGTAAAAACAGTGACAAGTCTAATTAACGCAACTTTAAGAACTGGTAGATAAACTGTGCATGAACTATGTTTTAATATGCTGCTGAGTGAAGTGTCACGAAGCACACACGTGCATCCGAACTCATCTCCGCTGCAACTTGCACACAGCTTTCTGCAATGCACAGAATATTTAATTTATCTGCATGTATCAAGACTATAATCAGAATCGTCTTTATTTAAATGATGAATATAGTTAGTTGATTATAAAAACAAAAAATGTTCCTGCCTGGACGAGGCAGGCGGTTTGTTGGGGCAAGGTTCAGTCCTGTGTGTGTGTGTGTGTGTGTGTGTGTGTGTGTGTGTGTGAGGGGAGGGGACGAGTGAGAGCTGCTGATAATGTGTTTCTTTCCTGTATTTCTTATTCTGGGATTTAAGGGACAGTGATGAGATCGACTGGATGTTACAGGAACAAGTAAATCTTGAGAATAATGTTAGTTACAATTTTTCTTCTTCACTTCAACACTTTGATGTTTTGAATCTTTTCTTACTTAAGTGCAGTGAAATGTTGAGCTACTGAAAGTTATTTGATATTTCTTAACTTTAAAAAAAAAAAGTTTTTACCCACTTTTTTTGATCCTCTGTCTTTTCTGATGGAATTTAACTGCAAGTGCAACATTTGCCGTTATGATGGACGACGGCTGTGACGGTTAAAAAGGTTTCACCTTAAAATCTTTTGGTTTTCTATTAAATGTCATATTTGACTGGACAAGCGAGCACTGACTCTCCCGTCAGGATGACTCCAGACTGCGTGGACTCCATCGAGCCGACAGCCCAGAGCGACGGGAGGCCTCGGGTGATGGGTTCGATCCTGAGCTTCGCCGCTTGCCTCATCATCTCCACCAACCTGCTGGTGGCGGTCGCTCTGCTGAAGCTGCTCCTGAAGAAGAGCAGCCAGAGCTGGTGCTTCGTTCTCAACTTGGCACTGGCCGACGCTCTGGTGGGTGTGGCCATCACCGGCCTGGCCACAGAGGACTTCAACGGCAACAGCGACAAAATCCCTCAGAGCCGACACAGCCACGTCACTGCTGCCCCGCCCACCAACGCCACGCCTCCTGCTCAGGGGAAGACCCGCTGTTTGATGCGAATGGCCTTTGTGACGTCACCCTGCACGGCATCCATCATGTCCATGTTCCTGATCTCACTCGACCGGTACGCTGCCATCAAGAGGCCGCTGCAGTACTCCCTGCTGTCGGGGAGGGGGACGGCCGTCGGGTCCTTGCTGACTCTGTGGATCAGCTCCATCACTGTGGGATTCTCGCCAGGTGAGATTGAGAAATGTCAAACTGAACGATTGAAGAACTGAGGATTGTTTTCTTGATAATCTGTGTTTGAAGCATTATCACATGTGAAATAACTCGTGTTCCCTGACCCAGTCATGGTGCGGCAGCTACAGGCCGAGGGCTACAATGGCTTCTGTGCCTTCTTCTCCGTCATTCACGAGGTCGGCGTTATCATCTTGTTCAGCGTGTGCTTCTTCCCCGTGCTCTCCATGTTCATCTACATCTACCTGGACATCCTGAAGATCGCCTGCAGCCACCAGAAGCAGATCAGCCAGGTCAGACAAGCTGGCTCCAGGACGACCGACCACGGCCAGAGACATCAGCATCATCCGCAGCTGAGAAGTGGCTACTGGAGTCACGTCAAGGCCCTGAGGACGGTGGCGGTGCTTGTGGGCTGCCTCTTGGTGCTCTGGTGCCCCTTCTTCGTGGTGTGCATCGTGCATGTTCTGTGTCAGAGCTGTGAGCTCACCGACGTGTTGGAGAATCACCTGTGGCTGTTGGGTCTGACCAACTCGCTGATCAACCCCCTGGTGTACGCCTTCTGGCAGAGGGAGGTGCGGCTGCAGTTGGTGGCCATGTTTTCCTGCTTGACGGGCAGGTCGCTGGCTGCCGGACCTCCAGGTATCGCAGGAAGATACGACTCTGAGGCAGCTCTGCCGACTCAGGCCCGCAACAATGACAATGCCACGTCCAGCTTATAAAAGAACCAGAGGTGTCCACAGCTCTGTCTCGATTCAGGATCCTTCTGAGGCTGCATATGAAGACAGAAGACTTTCGAGGGCTCCTTCAAACGCATCCGACAAATGTGTCCTTCCAAAGGCGGAACCTTCCTGACCCAACCTATCCCAAGATTCACTGCGCTTCAGTGACGAACTGTTTTTCAGAGCGGTAAGAGCGACGAGATGTCCGATGCTTGTATCCAACAGCCAATGAGACATGTCAGGAAACCATGGGGCATTAAAACGTTCTCTTCGTGTCCAACTTCAGTTGTGATGACACAGCAGCAAGTTGGTGACGCTGCTCACGGAGAATCCCTGTCGACCAGACGTCTCGTTTTTATTCAGCCTTCGCCGTCTACACAGCCCACAAGGGGGCGTCCTCCATAGGATGCAGCCCCTGAATTGAGACACAGCTAATTCGTATGATGCTTAACCAAAAATAATAATATCAACATATATATGAAGTATTTTAATCTAAAAACAAATAAAAAATAATAAAGTTATGCCGTTCATAAACTCTTATGTGCCTCACCCTGATTTGACCCATTTGTTTTACAGAATGTTATTTATAAGTTTGAACAGGAAACATTCTCCGTCAACTACACACTTATGAAGCCCCACCCCCCCGATACCTCGTCTCGTTTACACTGATGCTTCAGTGCATCTGTTCCACCTACGTCAGCGGCCGGGTCTCAGATTGTTCGAGCGGCTGTAATGAATCCGATTTGGCTCGAAATAATGTACAAATATCTGCAAATACAAACAAACATGGAGACCACGTGTTTGTCTTTAGCGGTAACTCAATGAGCGCCGCTCTATGTCAACCATGAAAAGAATTTATGTCCTTCACATTACTGGCTCTTGGGTTTTGCGTCTTCAGGCGACCGATGACGCACATGAAAAGTCGTTAACGTGCGAGCCCAACTTTAATAAAAGCCTCTGAGTGGGTTGCTCTTAGACTAATTTTAAACCTTAAATGTAACATCATCTAAAACACATTTAATGCACACATTATAAATATACATGAAATAAATATATTCAATGGAAATAGCCCCACAAACCACAGAGCAACAACTAGCAAACTTTACACAACATAAAACAACAACGAGGACCTGAAACAGGTGAGGAGCTGAAATAATGAAAATGACATCAGCCGCTTCAGTTGGACATTTCCAATAATAAACTTTATCCTCCAGTGTTTGATGAATCAGTTTTTGGTTTTAGATTTTTAAAGCCCCGTCTGCACAAAGTAAACTGAAGCGGGTCGGATCACAAACAACACGCAGCAGCAAAGGTCATGAGACAGACTGGAACCTGCAGCATTACACACGAATGATGAGCCCAGGCCCTCGGACGCTTTTATTTCATGCTGCTTTATCACATCCGTGTGATTAAGTAGCTTTAAGCTGATGTTTGTCAGATAACGGACGAGCCTGCACAGGTTTTATAGCTGGCTCATGATTATCGTCCACTTTACGAGTGTATCGACGAAGCACTCACACCAGATGATGTCTGTGGATTCTACGTGGGGTCACAAAGCAAACACTTCCTCCAGCGTGTGTTGTGTCTATAAAGTGTAATCAGAGCAGCAGAAGTGGAAAATGCAGCTGATTTACCTTTGGCTGTTTTGCGCCGCGTCATATCTTCTGTTTAACCTTCTTCTCCTTGTGTAAACAATTTGAAAAGGTTTGTGGACGTCACTTCTGCCGCTCTCACACAAATTAAAGAACATTTCTGCTTTAATAAAACCTTCGTCTTGTTTTTGAAGGTTTTTTTCAGTTGGATTTGAGTTTTGTGACGGTTTCACATCTTCCTCGTAATTTATCGTCTGAACCAAAGTATCAGGTGTGAAAGGTTCCTCCGGCCACGGGCTGGACGCGGTCTGGGTCTTTGTGGATGGTTCAGACTTTCAGACCAAAGGCATCAAACAACAGAAGAAGAAAAAGAAGAAGTCTTCGCCCAACAGAAGAGAGTGTCACTCCGCAGAGCTCAAACCTGATAAACACTGAAATGGAAACACAATCAGACGCTCTCACGTCGAGCTGCTCGTAAAGTTCACACTATGTGGAACACATACAGTTTAAAACAGAATCAAGAGAAACCAAGAGACAAAGATATTTATTAACAAGCTGCAGACACAACAGACTGAGAGGCTATGAAGGGAAACATCCCTCTGATGACTGTTAATGTATATTTCTAATAAACTGGAATGGTCTCCACAACAAAAAATAAATCGATCATCCACATCATCCATTCAGAAAAATAAACCCAAACACAACGTGATCACAATTCTGAAATAACTGAGGTAGATCCTGAGTGTGTGTGTGTGTGTGTGTGTGTGTGTGTGTGTGTGTGTGTGTGTGTGTGTGTGTGTGTGTGTGTGTGTGTGTGTGTGTGTGTGTGTGT